GATGTATGTGCAAACTTACCAAGAAACATGAGGACCAGATAGATGTACAGGACGAAAGAGAAGCTGATGGAAGTACCGAGGGCTTTCGGCAGAGGAATGCTGAAGAGTTTGGTCTCATCAAAGATGGGAATGGATTGTATTACAGCAACAGCTATAGGGATTTAGAGACACTTTAGTACTTGTATGTGATTATTTTGTATTGATACCAAGAGACGTAAACAAGCTCACCTTCTGCTAAAACACCTAATGGATACAGTGGTATCCAGATTGTGTACCGCAGCCATGTCAGAGTTTTCCACTCTGTGTTGAAGCAGCCCAGCATGTAAAATGGATACCTAAAATTGGAGATTAATGTTATTTGATGGAGGAAACAAGACTCAACTGAGGCATCTTTATAACAATGTAGGCTAAATGATCTGCTTGCTGTTCTGTTGATTATTGTAACACCAACTTCTGCTGAGAAAACCTTAACCTCAAACCTTAGTCAGGTTGAGTCTGTGACTTTGCTGCAACAAGGGGATCTTCACTGCATTTTTACTGCACTTGTTGAGTCAACATTTAATGCCACAAAACAGCGTTTCCATGTGTTGTAGGACTGCAGCTATTTATTATTTTCACTATCAAATAATCTGTCACGAGTCATTCTGTCTGATCTATAAAGCATTGGAAAACAGTGTGAAGTCATTATGAGCACAATATGAGGCCATTAAATGTCTTGTTTTCTCCTACTAACAGTCAAAACACAAAAATATATATTTAACTATAATTTAAGGACAAGAAAAGCAACCAATTCTCATATTTTAGAAACCGGTACCATCAAATGTTTGTCCTTTGTATGACATACATTTACAACATTGTTTAAACTTATATATCTTATTGAAAACAAAATCCACAATTCAGCAAAAGGATTTATATATACTGGCTTCATACAAAAGATTGGTCTAGGACTTGAAAAGAAACGTCAGCCTTTACCTCGTCCAATGAAGTGACTGTTCACCAACCATGACGATGCAGATGCTTACTTACCGCACAATCTCAATGGCACTCCACAGATAGAAGACGAAGAACACAACGGGCCGGTTGTGCATTTCTTCCAAACTACCAAAAATAATGAAGAGGACAAAATTCCTTCCAACCACCTAATAAGAGAACAAAACCCATAAAAATAAGTACTTGCATTCAAAATGAATCAGCTCTTTGTAACACAAAGCAGGTTTCACTTCACATCAAACAAGCCTTGCATACCTGTATAAGAGTTGGAATAACACCCGAGTGGACGACACCAAAAGCAGCGTTGAGGACTTCGACTGCAGCCAAGATCTGGCAGAAGAACATCACGTCCGATATGGTGTGAAATGTGTCGTAGAGAGAATCTGGAAAGAGAGAGTATTATTATAAATAATCATTCTTTCCATGGTATTTGTGAACAAATCGATCACAGAAGAAAAACAATAGCAAATGTAAAGCCACAGCAGTTTTAGTTTTTCTCACCTTGGCCAAAGATGAAGAGCCGCACGGTCATGTTGACAAAGATCCATGAAAAACCAAGAAACTGCACCAGGTTATAGACAAACAGAAAGGCTGTTTTCAGGCTGATAGACCCTGGAACATTTGAAAGAACAAAAAAACATTGAAGCAACCAACATCAACTTGCTTGATTAATGTTATATGAAAAAGACTACAGCGAAAAACCTCAAAGAATCATGGGAGATGTGCACTCACCTTCTTCTTCTTTATGCCTGGAAGCCTTCAGCCTGTTCTTTTTCTCCTCCTTTTTTAAGAAAAATTAAATAAAATGTAGGTTAATACGTTTTCAATCTTTGCTTTCTGTATCAATATTACTATCTTAATAATGTAGTCATTTGAATTATTGAGTATGTTATTTAACCATCTGTTAAATATACAGTATTACAATATCCCGCTGATGCAATAACTTAAAGGTCCCCGATTATACTGTTTTTCATCAATATATTACAGGTCTCAGATATATACAAACATGTCTCTGAAGTGTTTGGCTCCAAACACCAAACAGATCATACATTGTAGCATCCCATGAACCCCTCTCTTTCAGCCCTGTTTCAAAAGTGCTGATTCTGTGTCTTTTACTTCAGATGAAAATAAGGAGCCACTCCCCACGCCCCTCTGAGAGATATTTGGTTAAAAAGAACCCAATGGTGCTCTAGTACCCCTTTCACACCAACGGTGTTTCAGGGCCGGTTCGGTGCTGGTGCTTGAAAAGCACCGGGTTTTCCTGTTCACACCGCAGCGGAGCAGCGTCATAGCTCCGGAATCCGGTTCGTTTCGAGCACCAAAAAGTTGTCCGTCTAGAAGCAAGAACCGCATACGTCACGCTTACGTCGGAGGGGGGCGAGATTAACCTGAGCTAACACTTAAGGCGAGTACGGCAAATAAAAGTTGTAACAAGCAGTAGTGCTGAGCAAAGTGACTAGAACGCAACCACACACTTGTTAAAAAAAACACACTTTATAAAGTCAGGCAACACTAACCAGGCTTCGTGTGATTCTGTTTATTTGTACCTTACTTTGACCATCCGTTCGCTGTTATTGATCATTGTGGAGAGCAGGCAGACGTTTGTTATTATAGCAGCTATCGGATGGAATCAATACATGGGCTGCACAGGTTGTCATGTCCGACTATCACAAGTAGAATCATAATGAAAAATACGTCGGTAAAATGTGCCTGTAGAAAACTGCTTAGCAAGTAGTCAGTTTAGCTTCGGTTGCTATGCTAACATCACCCATGTTATACCAGAGAAACTTTCATAACAGCGTTGTGATGCCAAACAGCGTCAATTCAGACTGACACCAAACAGCGTCAATTCAGACTGACACACATTCACTTAAGGGGAACTGGGGATATGTATCAGCTGCTTGTGTGACAGTCAGACAGTGAATACTTTAGAGCCGTGTGAGCTAACCCGGAGCTAACGGGAGAATACACTCCCGTTGAAGAGCAGCCGGCCAGCACTGCAGCGGTCGGTAAATGCCGCTGAAACACATTAATAAACAATGAACCACGGCACTCTGGAGAAAAGTATAAGGTTGGAGAAGTCGTTATTTAATTTAATCTGGCTTCGTATGATTAAAAGCAACGCAGTCCCCGGCCCGTTGTTGTTGTGAAGTGAGCTCCGGCGTTGGGGAGAAACTCAGCGACGTAAACTGTGACGTCATGACGCAGCAGCGGCAGCACCAGTCGGGCTCTGAGCGGTGTGAAAAGAGCCGGCGCTAAACCGAAGAACCGGTTCTGAACCAGAAAAGCTCTAGCACGGAGCTTGAACCGGAGTTGCGTTGGTGTGAAAGGGGCATAGGAGGAGATTCAGGTGATAATGTGGGGGGGGGGGGGGGGGGGTGTTACCTTGGTTGGTGATTGGCTAATGGTTACACAAGCCAAAACATCTTTATGACATCATTAAGTGGCCCAAATCTGATCAGCTCATTTTCAGACAGGTCTTTATATATCAGGACAAAAAGTGAGCAAATCTTTTTTTCCTGAAACTTTCAGAATCTCTTTACACAGAGGGGACACAAGTTTATGTATAAAAGACATGAACAAGTGGATTTTGCATAATAGGTGACCTTTAAATCTTACTTTTTCCCGGATCTCCATCTCAGCATCCGACTCGTCCAGCCAGCGGTCAAAGTCCGGAGCCAGGAACACCGGTTTGCGCTCCTTCAGCGTCAGTCTCTCCCACCAGCCGTGCTGCCCTTTCTTCACCGTGATGCTCACCTGGCGCTGCGTGGACCTGTGGATCACCTGCAGACAGATTCATTTATAGAGCACAGTCAGCAAAACTAGAAGGAATAAGAAGAAAGGAGCAGCAGATAACTAGGAGTGGTGTTTAAATAGAGACATACCTCTGGCTTTACTGGTGAAAGAAACTCCAAGCTAAACTCGTATTCATTTTGTCCTTTCGCACCATGGCCCTGGGCTACACACACACAAAAAAGAAAAGAAATGTCACAAATCATTCATTTCCTAAAACATTTGCATTGTCAAATAAACATGAAATGTATGTTACCTTTAAACTGAAGGATGTTTTCATGGACACGCACATCAATATCCTGCAACAAGAAGCAGAGAGGCAGATGATTAGTTTATACTTCCTCTTAAATATTTAGATTTTAATTAAATAATGATATTACAACCTCAACACAACTGGTTTCAGACAATAACCCTGTTGAATTTGAAGTCAATGCTTCTTTAACACTAATCCATCAACAGTGGATTATAGAGTGCTATAGTGACATTTAACTACCAGCAACACCAATGTGTTGTTCCTTGTTTTAAGACACTCTGGAGGAAATGAGCTGTTTAACAGAATTAACACCCTGTGTCAGATCTTGTTTCCGTTTTCTGTGTAACACCCACAGTAAAGTAACCTGCAGTGCTATCAGGACAAAAAACTATGACCACAATGATGCCACATTTGAAAAGGATAAATTAATTTATGCAACTGACTATAGTATACACACACATTTTATTAAATCCATGACAACATGCCTTAACAGAGGGCTTTGTTAATATCATATCTCGTAAACATGCAAAGTGTGCAGCTACCCAGCGAGGGCAAGTACAGGAACCAGCACACTTCATTTGCCTAATTTAATATGTATAGAGACATACAATAAATGACAAGCCCTGACAGAAGGCATGTTCCTTGGTAAATCTACGTCCTGCATGATACTCTATTGTTAGCTCACCTGAGCGTCTGTCAGCTCCACTCGCAGGTAAATGTCTTCGTGGCGTTGAGCCCAGTAAACGAGGGGTGTGAGCGGCATTGTTCCGCTTTTTGTGTAGATTTTTTTTTAAAGTGTCAGGCTAAACAATGATTAAACTGTCCTCGCTTCATGCTAGCCGTCAGCAAATACCCAGAATATTCTGTGAATGCGCGGGTTCGCCATCTGTCAACGTTACGACGTGCTCGTACACGATACGTCGGTTCTGCTCTCCTCTGATTGGCTGGCAGAACTGGGTGAATATTTACGGAAGTAGCAACCCAGAAGTGGTTTACATGAGAAATACAGCACTTTGCCCACCTTTTTCTTGGTAACATGCTAATATGCAGACAGAGGAGCATGATTCTGGTCTAAAGGCTGGTTTGTTGAAATCTTGTGGGACATTTCGTGTTCTTGTCGGTGTGACGGGAAGTGTTGCAGCCCTGAAACTGCCTGTGTTGGTATCCCAGCTTCTTCAGCTCTCTGGGGTGAGCTGCTTCATATTCATTTCTGTGCAGAGCCTTCTTTAAAGGACTGGATGAAAAGTGAAACAATGAAACTGCTTTAGAGTGAGCTGATGTGTTAAAACTGAAGGTCTATTCAAACTTGATAAAGGAGTACAGACTATGACAAATAAATCAGGACACAGAGGAAATGTCCAAGATGTAGCCACTATCAGTTCTGCCCAACTCTCATTTTACCTAACCAAGTCTCTTTTAATAAACCTGACATTATATCTCAAGCCGAAACATGTTTAAGCGCCAAAACAAAACGCCATCTGAATATAAAACGGACGTCACAGTTTATTTCCTTATCTATAACCCCAAGTGTAGTTTATTTAGATGTTATCGAGAGGTTGTCGTGTTTATGGCTCTGCTTTCAACATGGCATGATAAGGAGCTTGTAATCCTTATTTAAGCAACTGATCCTGATAGCTTAAGGGAGTTGGCAATTACCATACACAGGAATGTCCCAGGCTCCAAGCAAGGGATACACCATAGGGATACACACAATCATTCAGAATAGTGGCTATAATTTAGACTATGATTGGGTCAATGCTTAAGAGTTAAGGATTTGATACGTAATGCTATATCACTGTCTACAGTCTACCTATGTAACATATCCAACAACCATACTCCCATGCATCCTAACACATTGTTTCTCTACATGGTGGCATAACCTCACCCTAACCACAAGATGGAGATGTTGCAGCTGTTAGCCAGCTGTATAAAACAACACGGTTATACTGTTGAACATCCCTCTTATTCAGCGACAGTATTGGTATTTTACTTTCACATCCAGCCGTTTTCCTTTAAATCTTCTCAAAGTACAGTTGGAATAAATGAACAAAGCAGTGGCTGCAGCATACTCGGCAGCATTAGCAGAAGCTGCATTCATGAAAACCTCAACCTGGGTGTCAATGGGAAACTAAAAGAAGAAGTAAAGGAGATGCCTGTATTACTCTTTAACGTGTTTTGCAACAATGCTGAAAAAGGCATCCTTAATATTTGTAATGAGCATTCAGCTTGAGAGACAGAAACTCAAACCCTAGGAATTACACTAAGCAATGAATGTATTTTGATTTGATAATATTGTATAATTAAATGAAATGGCTCTGAGAAGTCAAAACCACATGCCAATGTGTTATTGTGCAACTCTGACGACACAATTCTGAGAAAGGTGTTCATGTATACTAAAGTGCAAGACCCATAAATGTTCTCTCAGACAAAGATCAGTTACTTGCCCTTTGTATGTGTCTCTAATTATTTTTTCCATCTTGTCAATAGCCTAAAGCAATAGAAAAGTGTGCTTTTAAAAACCCTGTGACTGTCACTGTCTTGTTTTATGCTTAAGGTGGACGTAAGAGTAGTCACTACCGAACATGCCAAGCACTTCTACAATCCTGCAGAGGTCTCAGTAAAAATCTACGATGACAAGGATGAGTGGGAGGTAAAAACTAACCTGTCAAATGTCGTAGTTAAGCCATTATGAACTGGCAGCCTACAGCAGTTTCTCAAGCTTGGTGCTACTGATAAGCTGACAAGATTGTGTAAGATTCCTTCAATTTAGATTTGAATAACTGATGTATTAATTTCAGAAGTTGAATCCGTGTGACACATATTTGAACAATTGGAAAACAGTCAATGTCAAGCTCCCTTCATGTTCTTGAAATTAAAATATAAAAGATCACAACGAGTGAATTAAAGTGTGGCGTAAATTATCCAGACATTGCGTAACAGCTATAAAATGGCTGAGGTCAGGAGAATGTTGAGACATAAAAACATGGTCAAGAGCCAGGAAGATTGAGAAACTCTGTCCTAAAGTGTCAAGCTATCTAGAAAGTGAGGAAGTGTTTCTTTTGTTGTGTTCCTGACGGCATGTCTCTGTTCTAGCTGTGGACTCAGAGGTCTGACCCTGTGTTGCACATTGAGCTAAGGCGCTGGGCAGACCTTTTTGTCATTGCCCCCCTTGATGCCAACACTCTTGGAAAAATTGCGAATGGAATTTGTGACAATCTCCTGGTGAGAACATGAAAACATTATCTGACTCCTTACAAAATGTTCTTTCAAATAATAAGTATTTAGATGATTTACTTGAAAAAGTTGATTGGTCTTTGTCATTGGCAGACATGTGTGGTGAGAGCCTGGGACACCAGTCGCCCTCTCCTCTTCTGCCCTGCCATGAATACAGCCATGTGGCAGCATCCCATCACAGCCCAGCAGGTATCCAGGCTCACAGAGTTTGGATATGTGGAAATCCCCTGCATTGCTAAGAAGCTAGTATGTGGAGATGAAGGTGGGTTTTCAGTATAATACAAACGCTAAATATATTAAATGTGTACATGACATCACAAATGCAGTACCTTGTTGGATTGACCAAATCCATATAAATACATTGGAGAGACAAACAGTAGAACAATATATATATTATACTCTACAAGGCATTGTGTTCTTATCAATTTAGTTTTACAATTACTTAGTTGAAATGCAGGTAAAAAAATAAACAATAATGATGATAAATAATTATTACCCGAAATGACAAATAAGTTGTCCTCAAGGGCAGTAATTATTATCATCACACCCAAAGGTAAATACATATTTTTGCACGAGAAAGGGGTAATTTAGGTTAGGTTGTAGAAAGGTTCTAAGAAATTCCAGAAAAATGTTTTGGCAATTCAGCACTCACAACAGGAAAGAATGAAACAGAGGAATCAATAAAACACAAACACAGATATAGTTGATCAATTATTATTTCGTTGTACAACAATCAATAATAATGAGGAAACATTACCTTTGCTTTCAAGCAGTGATAGTAATGCTCCGACGAGTACAAGAATCACACAGCATATATATACGTTTTCCAAATGGACGCACACACAATTTTCCTTACATTAACTAATGCACGGATATGTTCCAGATGTCGAAAGGTCATTATCTCATGACCTATTTAGGAGTAATTCATATCTTGTCAGGATATGAACCACCTAACTAACAAACTAACTGTATTATAATCTGAGTAGCGCCTCTTTGTACTTCATCTGACCTTGGCGTCAGCTCACTTAAAATGAATAATTAGCAGAGACGATGGGCCTCTTGGCTCTGGAAACTATAATTCAATAATATACCTAGTTATATTGACCAGGCATAAGACTGATATAACAAGATCTGCTTCCACCAGTGGTTCAACTTCTCACCAAATGTAGTTGCCCGGTACATTGAGACATCTCTGTTGTGTGAGTCCAGCTGCAGCTAAGCACACATCTTATTTCAGACAAAAATGTTCAACCTGAGAGGACAGTGACGCGGCTTTCTGTTTAGTGTTAATCTGGTAGGTTTTAAAGAGAAATGTAAGAAGACAATTTATAAATGCCCTACCTACTTATTTGTCAACATGTGTTAGTATAAAGGAAAGGTGCAGCAGAAGACTAATTGTCAAGAATATCGCTTGGGGAAAGTACACCTTAGTGCAAGTGGTTCTTCAAGCTTATCAGCTGGCTGCAAATAGTTTTTAATGTCTTATGTACCTCCTATGCGTTGTCAACTATCTGTGGTTTTGTGATAAACAATGACAATGGCTGATGCTCTAATGACTTAGTCTCACTTAATTGGTTGTAATCATCAAGGAATCTTGGTAAGCTACTCCATCAACTAAAGGTTAATCTTTTCTTCAGTGACCTTTTTGCACTCATACACACCAAGTGCGGAAGCTGTTGGAAAAACGAACAAAACGCACACAAAACATAAAAATAACTATCAACCGATAACCAAATTACAAATGAAGATTATGAACTTTGTTATAACGGTTTTTTTTATCAGCAATCAGTATCAAATATAACTCTTTCTACAGTGTACCATCACATCCATAGACTAATAGATATCTGAAAATCCTTTGCTTAGAATTAGTTGCAGAAGCAGGGTAAGTTTGTAATACCAGCATAATATGTCTCTGCACAACACCATGTGTTCCCTCTTCTGTGCGGAATGTGTTTGTGTAACTCTGTTTCTGTTACTCTGTTGCAGGTAAAGGGGCCATGGCAGAGGTATCCACTATTGTCAGTGTTGTCAAACAATATCTTCCGATACCAGATGAGTCATCTCAGAAAACATCCACGTAACATCTTATTGTAAAATTAGGGTTGCACTATACAAGACAAATATCAAATAATCCTGTTTGCTTGTCTTCAACAGACATGATAAACTGCTTTTATCTATTTGACCTCTTCTAGTTGGGAATGTGTGGGTTTGTACTTACCTTCACTGACAACTACCTGAGTTTTGTTGCATGGCCTGAACATGCAAATGTTCTTAAACCCATTAACACACAAACACTTAAACACATATAAGTACAACTATTTGTTATTATCTTCCTTTACTCAGCAAGTGCAACCTTTGCAGCATGATGAGCCAGAGTAGCAAGAAAGACTTGTTTGGGAGTGTCATTTTATCAATGGCTATAAAAACGATTTAGTGCAGGGTTTTTTACATAAAACGTCTATACATTATTAAATGATACAGACAAAGATATTAAACCCTTAGCCATTTCTGCTGTGACGCAATAATCCCAATGTATGATAGTACATTTCTGTGGTTCACAAAGCAATATTTCATTAGTGACATTTAATCAAGCTCATGTAAATAAATGGAAAAATATAGTTCATGGTATAACACTTGTTATAGGCACATCATTTTGTACAAATAAGATCAAATAATATTCCGTCTTTAAAAAAGTAATGGTGATCTATGGGCTTGTCATCGACACACTGTTGTGTCTTCGACAACACAAATGGAAAAATACTGTCGGTGTCAAAGGTGAATGACATTTGGATTAAAAACTGAAATTCAACCACGTTTGTGAACATTTTATTTACTTGATTTTTCTTAATAGCAAAATGCCTCTGTTAAGGTAAAAGGGTTTCTTGTTATTTTTTTGTGATATTTGGTTTCATCAGCAAATTGTGGAATTTCAAACATTTTGTCAGTGGAGATATCAGATGTTTACTGTATAGATGCAACATATGTGTACTTGAGAAAACGGTCATTAGGCAATAAAAAGTCACCAAATGCACGCCCTTATAAGGTCATCCATTTAAGTGCGCACAACGCTCTCCTTATTTGAGTATTTAGAAGATGTCATGGCTCCTGAGGGGTTAATTATGTGAGATAAGCAGCGGAAACGTTCCCGTAAGGCAGACTGGCTTTACTGCATACATAACATCAACGTGTCAACTGAGGAATGGATGTTCTAGAGTCATGACCATTGGGTACTAGTCGTGTCTTTTTTTAGTAAACATACTTTTATTTTATTTATGCTGACACCATTCCAGTTTAATATTTGGTGTATAGGTGTTTATGATGATATAAAGAAGGGTATTTATATGGGTTGTACGGCTTTTTCACCATGACTTTTCACCATGACTCTAAGCGCCAAAGGTCAAAAGTGAAGAAACCCCATGGTTAACATAGCGTTAGACCTGCTTATCTCTTGAAAGCCCTCCATCTCCTAACACAGCAGTCTGAATTGTGTCAAGAGAAGCCAGACCAGACAAGGCTTTGTTTATGTTACTGAGTGGAAGCAGATGTTTTGAACAACTATCTTACTTGTAATAAACTGAAAGGAACTCATCCTTGTAGATGGAAATCTTAGAGGTATGTCTCGTCTGGAGTATATAATTGTTGCAATTGTAAAACAGATTCAGATTAATTACAAAATAAATCAGCAGCGTTGGTATAAAGTTCATTTTTACATCCAACTTCTATCGTTTTACAGCACTATTGAGGAACATGGAAGTCTTCCTGGTCACATGCATCACCAGGGTATTATAATTTGTATCTCTTTGTCATCGAACTGTGAACATGGGACTTTTTTTTAAATTAAGAAGGTTAACCTTTCCTTTAATATCAACATTTTAGCTGGTAATGCTTTATTTGCATATGCTTTCGAGGTAATGGTAGTTCTATTTTATCATAGATCATGTTTGTTCTCATCAAATCCAAAGGCAGGCAGGGGAAATTTGGTTTGCAAATAGCCCGGGGCTTTTAAACTGCTGAGCTGTCGAGGTTTCAGCACATGGCGGCATGTGAATGGCTCTCTAGATGAAAAACATCCTCCCCTGAACCGTAACCTGTCCTGCTGCTATTGGCTGTTGTGTGTTTCTGTTAATGATTCCAAAGGAGAATTACATCAGCCATACCGGCAAGGGGAGTGTTGCTGAGACTTTGACAGCCCTGTGGAGGGTACAGCCTGCAGATGCACCTTCTAAAATAACACCATGTTATCATAACTACGGACATATCTTCAAAAACGTAACACAATTGTCTTCTCGTCTGCCACTTCAACACCTGTTTATCAAAATATAAACAAGAACTTGCTGAACAGACTTTCAATAATATTATTGCATTCTCAGCCTATCAAACCTTGTTGTTTTGAGATTTAAAAAAAATGCATGATAAAACTGTGAATCGCACACATTCTAATACAAATACTGAAGGCTGAGAAAATGACAAAGCACTAAGTGTATGAGACTCATTCAGCAACATACCAACTTCATTTTCACCAGTGATTTATGAGCAATACTAGTTTGTCATTCAGCACTTCAATTTGGTTAAATAATGACCTAAGTTGCTCAACAATGACTTATTAGAATTATACTCATTCCAATATCAACTATCAAAGGAATAGATAAACATTTTGAAAGCCATTGTTGTTACCTTGGGTAGTTGAGATCAAGTTACCTGAGAACAAGAAGCATTTGAAGTCAACACAACCCCATGTGCTAGAACTACTAATCTTAGATACAAATTAGAACTAAAATCAAAAACCCGAGAATAAGCAACATCAGATAGTAATCCTTTAATATCCTATCGGAGAATAAAAGAATATACAAAGAAGCATGGCGCCTGAAACTGGTTCTGCATACAGTAGGTTAGTGGGTTCAGAAAGGACACAGAAGGGTCAGACAATGTTTGCATGAGAGAAGAGATGTGACAGTTGAGTATGCAGCAACAGATTTGTTTATCTGGAGTTCACTGCAAGTAGGAATTTTTGCCATGACCTTGAGCTTATTAAATAAAAAAACAAAACATCTTACATTTGTTATAATCAAAAAACCTGGAGAAGATGAAAGATGTCTGTAGTAACTTGAATGTGATAAGATAGACTGTTTGAGGTTCAGCTAAAAAAAGACTTCCACTATCATTTGTACACATTGCGTAATGCATACTTTTCATGGCGTGTACAGTAGGGTCTACTCTACACTGTACATACATGGAACGACAAACATGCAATGCCCCTATATGATAACTTGTTCTCTGTGACACTTTGTGTACACGCTCAGGTGTGTGTCTCCTGTGTGTCTGTCGCAGCTCGAGCAGTCTCTCTGGGCTCAATAGTTCCTGTCCTGTGGGAGCGTTTCATCAGAAATACTTCCTGAGAGATCACCTGCTCTACTCCCTGTGTCACCACAACTCTTCTTATTGACTCTCAGATGTTTAAAAGTGGTAAACACACAAGTAAAATTACTGATTTACATTTGTCATGACATATTGTACTTGTCTGTGTATAAATTGTGAATTTAGATACATATTGTTACAACAAAACATAAAAAAAGTTGTGCCTTGTCCATTAAAAATGTTAAAAAGGTAAAAACGAATAAAAGTCCTGACAATACATTTTATTGTGTTATAGCCTTATATATACAGTCTATGGTTACAGCTGCCTTTAAAAATAAATAAATGATAATGACATTGATAGCTTCTTGGGGAAGACTAACACTTCTTTGAGATAATTTGTTAACCTTAAAAACGGTGTTATAAATGATTGTATGTATATCAGATATACAGCACAAGGAAGTTTCACAGAGGGAAATAACCTTCAGCAAGAAAGTACTGCCAGTAAATAAGAGGAAGTCGATTTTAAAAGAAAGATAATCCACCTCTTCACTATGCGATTCAACCCATCGCATGTTTTTTGCATCATTTTTGCATTGTGTGTTTAAGCTACGTGTTGCTGTTTCCATATGGCACATTGTTAGCCCCTTAATGTTCTGTGTTGTTTAGCCTTAAGCTGAAATTCCATGGTAACTGGAAATGAGGGAGATGTGAAAGCTCTCCGTGGGGAAAGGTTCTGCCTCCTCTCCTCAGTCAAACCCCCTGCCGAGCGCGTCTATACCTGCGGGGCCACAGGGACTGATGGAAGCCACCAACTTGTCTAGACTAAACTGAGGCGTCACATGGGACACACAAATTAGCCTCCAGTCCACAGGTGAGGAGGGACTGGTATGATGCAAGTGCAACACGAAATGAACTCATTCATTGGATATTCAAGCTAGTGGAAGAATTTAAATTGACATTAATGTTGGATTGTCTGTCTTATTGTAGTGATATGTAGTTAAATCCAACATCACTATTAGTGTAAAAGCATAATGCTCAAGGATAAATGTGCATGTGTTGAATAACAAGATGTGAAACAGAGACGGTCTGAGGTAATGGCTGACCTGATTTTAACTTTGGTCAACCAAAGTCAACCATTAACTACATTAGAATGAGGTCAACCAATGTGATTCTGTGCCAGTGTTCTGTCTACACAGGCTACCTATATATAATATATATCACGCTTATTTGCATTAACAAAAAAAACCTCAATGGAAATACAGCTGTGTGACAGAAGGCCTAACCGTGGTGTTTCAAGGCAAAACCTGGAATTGGATAGGTGTAGGATACTCCAAACTCTAAAAACTGTTCCTTTATCTGTGCCAAAAACTATTCAGAGTGAACCTTTAACACCTCTGTAATGCATTCTCTTTATGTAAAGTGGTAACAATCAGTCTGTCAGGGCACCCAAACATGTTAAGCAAAGTGAAACACCTACAAAATATGTGATAAGTAGCATGCTTGCAGAAAGACTTTCTTCATGTAATGTCTTATGTACATATATGTATGGAGTGAAATCATAATAACTTATTAATGTTGACCACCTGGATTTCTCTGACGGCTAAATGGACCAAATTCAGATTTGGGAGAAAATAAAAAGGAGAGAGAAATCTGTCTGGAGAAATAAATAGCACATGTTGGCGTCATTTATGCTGGGGACATGACCCCACCACATTGTAAAATGGACAATTTTATCCCCACAAAGTACAATGTCTTTAAAATGTTCTGAAAACACGTCAACACTTTGGATTTCTTACCCAAGATAACATGTACAATCTCAGAACAGTTTGCACGCTTACACTTTATTTCTGTGAACCAAATTGGTGCACTTTGGACATGTGACGCATTTATTATTATAAAGCCTACCGCACTTTTCTTTTAAATGTGTATCTAGAAGCATGTTTTGTAATTATATGACTATCCTGTGACGGCCATGGCCTGCTGATTTAGCAAAGGAGATATTATTGTGAAATTGATGGCAATTGACAATTTATTGATAAGAGGTATAAAGGTTATAAGAAATGTGGGTTAATGTATGATTATTTGGCATTGGGCGCACAATACACACACTGAACAAATTGTTATTGTTATTGTTGAGTTTGTTGATACCTACAAATATCTGGGCTTTTGGTTGGACAGTAATCTGAACTTTAAACACCATATTGAAGTTTTAACAAAGAAATTGAAATTCACTCTTGGCTTCCTTTTCAGACTTAAATGTTGTTTTTCAACTTCATCCCGTAAAAGGTTGGTCTCTGGCTTATTCCTGTCCCAGCTGGACTACGGTGATACCATTTATAGATTTGCCTGTCCCACTGTTTTGGCCAAACTTGACCCACTTTACCATGCTGCAATGCGTTATATATCAAATGCACCCTATAGGACTCATCATTGCACACTGTATAGCCTAACTGG